TGTGTGTGATGTCAAAAGAATATTTTAATGCCAAGATGCCTCATGTCAAGGATGGAGGCCAGGCGCTGTGGCTCACCCCTGTAATCCCAGTGCTCTGGGAGGCCATGGCAGGAGAATCACATAAGCCCATGAGTTTAAGACCAGCCTGGGCAAGATAGCAAGGCCCCATCTCTACCAAAAAAAGAAAAAAGGAAGGAGAGGCGTCAAGTCTGCTTTACTCTTAGACATCGTTCCTTGCTGATTTAAAGGACTCAGAGTCATTTCTGTCAAGACACACATTCATTAGCCTCTTATTCATGCTATTCCTTCTAAGTCATTCAGTCACTTCTGAAGTAATATCTGAATCTCAAAAGGAAACCCAGGCATTCAAGAGGAGCAAAATTCTATAAGAAACACAAGTTGCAAATATGACAATATCACTAAAGTGTATCTATCATTTAATACTTCTGCCTAAGAGAACATGCAAGTTGTGAAAATGTTAAACATGCCTGTAACCCAGGATTTAATGTAATAATAACAGCAGCCACTGCCAGAATTCTATCAAAAACTAAAAAGGCTGAGTCTAATGAGTCCTCTAGGCAGACTGATAAAAGGATGACAGAATAACACATTTAATAAATTGAGGATAATGAGCAAAGCTGTGTAAAGTTTTAAATCCACTCTTATGTTTAAAATGTCATGAGAAAAGAGCTACAGTCAATCTCCTTTGCTATGTAATAGCTAAGAAATCTTTTTTTTGTAACTTGTTTTAAAACAGCCTGCATTTTGTGAATGGTGATATTGAAAAATCACCATGATTTTCTTGGTAGTAGAACAGTGGTTCTCAACCACTAGAAATGTCTGGAGACATTTTTAATGATCATGACTGGAAGGAAGTGGGTAGAAGGCAGGGATGGTGCTAACCATCCTACAATGCACAGGAAAGCCCCACCACAAAAAATTATAAAGTCTAAAACTTCAATAGTGTTGAGGTTGAGAAGTCTTGCAGTAGAGTATTGCACCATGATTTTACAAGGACAGTATGAATCGAAGAGTCTGAATTATAACCTTTCAAAATTGAATTTTTATAAACTCTAGTGATCCTAACCAATATGCAGCCTAGTGCATTCAGCAATGACCCAGTTAAAAATCACTTTAGAAGCATACTGTTGCTATATGCTGGCATACTGCTATGAGCTTCAAAATAATTTGTTCTGCTCAGTAGGTTAAAAGCTGCCCCTGTGATCCTGCTGGAACTTTCTGTTTACTTATTGACTCTTTGTCCTCACCAAGTATCTGCTATATAGCAAGCCTGTGGGAAATAGAGACTAAAAGTAACAATAACAACATAACAAGAAAAGGAAAAATAATCACAAACAAAACCAACAATTTCTGGCCTCAAGGAGTCTACAGTTCAGTGTGGAGATAAACGAACAAAGTAAAAGCCTATGGGGTAAGAAAGATGGTACAGGTATGGGACCCAATTCACACAAGGAAGTACCGGGCAAAGGAAGAATGTTCCTTCAAAGACGTACTACCAAAGCTGGGTCTTACTGGAGAAGAAGCCTTGCCTAATGAACTCAGTTAATCTTCACGGAAGCCCTATGATGTGGGAAGTATAATTAGTCTCCTTTCATAGATGAGGAAGCTCAGGCATGGGTTGGTTCAAGTAACCTGCCCAAAGTCACACAGCTAGTGACTGGTAGTGGGATCCAGATTCACTTAATCTGGCTCTGGTGGCTAAATTCTTAACCAATATCTTCTATAACTTGAAGAGCCGGAAAACATGAAAACTGTCTTCCAGTAGAGCTATTAGCTAAGAGATTTAGTCAGAATTAATCTAAGAGGCAAAAGAGACCTACTGAGCAGAAGTCATGTACCTGGTAAACCATTCTTTTAGAATGAAGACCAAACTTCTAACCATGGATTACCAAGTTCTGCCTGATTAGAACCTCAGACATAGATTTATCTCCAACCTAATCCCTCTTAATCTCCATCTTGGCATAGACAGTTCTTTCTGGTGTTGCTGTTGTGGTCTCCCCTATCCCCTCCTGCAATCCTGAAGAGCAGGCTCTCTCTGTACTCACTATGACAGATCTCAACAATGGAGAACTGAGGCTAGAGCCCTCCAACAATGCCCTTGAGGCACCTCACCTCCTCACCAGCAGGGAAGGAAACCATTGAAGAACACCCTTTGAATGCAGTTCTTTCTCCAGGTAATATACAGGACACATGTTCACAGTCCACCAAGATATCATGAGAAATTATCAGAAGCCTGTAGAAGATCCAGGTGAATAACCTTCAGCATTGCTTTGAATCAACCTTCTACCAGCATCACCAAAAGAAGATAGTTTTCTTTAGAATGAGAAACATTCCATAATCAACTAAGCTCCTTAACCATGAAGATATTTGGTTTCTTCCTCATGACTCATAGGTAGATGGTATAGTAGTTAAGACCACAAGCCGAGGTTGTGACTTTGAGCAAGTCATTTAACCTCTTGGCACCTCAAGTTTAATAATAATAACAGTTCATTTATTGGGTACACAGAATACTCAATAAATGATTATGTTATTGTTAAATTACAAAGAAGAGAGCAATTTGTAGAAAAAACTACAGACTGTGTGTCTGTAGGTGCACAGAAAATAGTTGAAGGTTAAATACCAAACTTTTACTAGAATATGAAGGAAATTTCACATTTTACACACATGTAACTTTCCTTTTTTTTTTTTTGAGTCAGAGTCTCACTCTGTCACCCAGGATGTAGTGCAGTGGTATGCTCACGACCAACCCAGCACTGACCTGCTGGGTTCAGGCAATCCTTCTGCCTCGGAACTACAGGCGCACACTACTATGCCCAGCTAATTTTTTGATATATTGTAGAGACGAGGTCTCAGCAAGTTTCCCAGGCTGGTCTCGAACTCCTGGGCTCAGGCAATCCTCTCACCTCGGCCTCCCAAAGTGCTGGGATCACAGGCTTGAGCCACATGCCCAGCCAACATGTAACTTTCAAAACAACTTTTACTACTGGCCTATACCATTTGCAAGTTTTTAAAAATAAGAATAATTTTTTAAAACTTCATGGCTACTTTTCACTTTTTCTGTCAAATATCTTACTGACAATCAACATCTATTTGAAAGGGGGAATGAAAGGGCCAAGACCCCTAAACTACTTGAGTTAATGGTCTCAGAAACCATACTGAGGGAGCTATATTTAGTCAAAGGACTGGCCTCTGGACTTCACAGGGAGTAAATGGATTCCATCAAAGCCAGCAAGGCTGCTCAAGCTCGTGTCCACCCTCGGCAGCATACCTCTTTGAAAAAAAAATTTTTTTCTGTACATTTAATCGGCGTCGAATTTTGCCCCATATCTAAGCTTTTGGATTTACCTCAAGTATACCTCTATAACCAGATCACCAAATAAGATGCCAGTCTGTTCTTTGCAAAGAGAAAGAAAAGAAAAATAAAGCAAAATGATGGATGCAAATCTATTTACTGTTTATTCTAAAGAAATTTGTTAGAGTTCCAGGAAAGAAGCCTCAAGCACAGAACTAGAGGAAGGTTCAGAAAGCAGCTGCCTCAGGCCTCGGGCCTGCCCTTGTATCTTGGCTGCCACTCTAGTTCGGAGTCCACTTGGAGGCCATGCCCTCTATATACCAAGCCATTCCCAAGGTGCAATTGCTCACAGAAAGAGGATCTCGTGACTGTCTACAGAGTCCTACATGTGAGCTTCCACTCTGAATGGGGCTGACTGCTCTCAACCACACCCAGAAATTGTGAACTCTCTCCCTCTCCTTTACGCTATGTATTTCCTCCTTTCGCTTCTCAACAATCATGAACCCCTGGGCCAGAATTCAAGTCTGATTCATCTTGATGTGCTCCGAACTTGGCATGGGGCCTGGCACAGAGAGATGGCTCAGTAAATAAGCCAACTAACAGTGAGCCAACTGAAGAAATCATTCTATTCACCCTTTCCCACACCTTCCAAGTGTGAATCTCTGCGTCTTCTCCCAAGCCAGCTTGCTCTTTTCCTCTGTACTTGCACTGAAATAGAAATGATAGGGACTTCTTTAAGGGCAAGAGAGTCCTTTATGAAGTCTGAGGGTGCCTTTTTTTTTTTTTTTTTTTTTAACAAAGATACATAGAAGATAATCAGTAAGATTGAGAATATCATCACCTATCCTGCAAAACTGAAAGAAGCATTTCTTAAACGGTGAACTGCAAGGAAAAATGGTTCCTAGGGAAGTGTGTGTGTGTGTGTGTGTGTGTGTGTGTGTGCGCGTGCGTACGCGCGCGCATGTGGGTGTGTGTTCAATCTTCATTAACATAGGATACTTTTTAAGAATCAGGTACCAAAAAGGCCTTCAGGTGTTCTGAAACCCCAGGTTTCCGAGTGAAGATAGAGTGGCCACACCTGGCAAGTCCTGGAAGAAAAAGCCAAAGGGCTCTGTTTCCAGAGTCATGGCAGCCTTCACCCCACGCTGGGAGATGCGCCACCAGGGGACACCCGCCCTCTTGATCCCACACTCAGCTTGACTGTACAGTGTGGCAGGCACTAGGCAAAGAGACCAACAAAGCGCGTCGCCACCCCTGCCCTTTCACAACACCACTCCAGGTCCACACCCTGTTCCCCTAGGCAGCCCCAGGATAAGGTTACACCACTTTCCAGTGTCTTCTTATTTTTAAGAGACAAGGGCTTTACAGATATCTCCACAAGAGAGCCTGATCCGGCCATGGGGGTGGAGATCATTTTCCTTCCCCGTGCTTGACAAATTTTCCCCGTCCCCTTTCCCGGAGGAGCCCCCCTCAGCGTTTCAGCCCTTAGCGCAGAAAGGGAAATGGGACCCCTGGATTACTGCGGCCTCGCCCTGCGAACAAGTTTCCACTGGCTTGGCCGCTTGTAGAATTGCCAAGGCAAGCACTGAGCGTGGACAGACATCGTCTCTACAGCTCAGGATCTTGTACCTCCAGCTTCCTCCAAGCTGGCCCCAGATCTGTGTCCCGGGTTAGGTCCACCACTTACCCTACAACAGAAATCATCATGGCAGCCACCACCAAGTAGTTGGTCTGGTAATAGAGCAGATTGCTCACCACACGGTTGTTCCATTTGGAAACGTCCCTGAAGTCTGGCCGGGCGAATCGGTCAGAGCCTGGGAAGAAATCGTCCCAGGCGCGAAGAGGAGCGATATTCACATCCATGTTCTTAGCTCTGCGATCTTCGCCTGCGGAATCTGGCGGCGGCGGCAGCGGCAACCGATCAGCTGAGAAGATGACAGCGACTCCGTCTCGATCGGCTTTGCGGTTGACTGGCAGCGGAGCACAGGAAACTCAGATCGGGCGGGCTTGTTTGCTCTTCTTTACTTCTTAATTGGCTCTACGTGGTTGGTTACAAGAAAACAGGGGCCCCGCGAAGGAGCAAGGGATCGAGTGAAGAATAGACATGAAATGACAGGAAGCAACCAGCAGAAATTTCCTGTTTGAGGCGAGGTGGCAACGCTTTTTCTGGCAGTCTGAATACAAACTGCACCCTTTGAAATGCCTTCTTAGAGTGTTTAACCTAGTAGTGTGTTCTCCGTCCTAAAGAAAAATTTTGGCAGCTGTTTATATGCCAATCGAAGTGAAACAGACGGCGGCTATAGTTTTACTGGAGGCTGGGCTGGTTTTGAAGACTAAGTATTACTAACCTCTACACATCTGAATGCAATTCTCATGTTTTCTCCTTTTCACCATGACTCATTGTGTGTGAAATCAGATTGGCAAAATGGGAGAAAAGGCCGTGCAGCACAGAAGGGTTGGTTTGTTCACTTCTCTTCTTTGTTTCCCATCTCTGTTCTTTTGGGACAAAATTGTTGAACTACCTTGCCATTCTGATAAAGTGACAATGTAGGCACTCTGGTCACTTCAGCCCTGAGCTGGGCAAGTTTTTTACATTTTTAAGCAAATAATTGAACTAATTGTTCTGCCCCTAATATTTTCTGGACAGAAATATGGATTCCACTCCAAAAGAGGATTTTTTTAGTTTTACACTAAGGAAGCACAGTATTTTAATAGATAAGGTGATGTTTTGTATCCCGGCCTAATGAACTGGCTGGGATTGTAGTAGTTGTAAGTTCTCTTTTATGCTTTTTTCTGTTAAAGGGATAGTTGGTACAGTAAACCTACTTTTATCTCAAATGCATGAGAAAAAAAGTATTTTGGTTAGTTGCATAGTGTAATAGCAGAATTCTAAGATGATAGTTTCTAAGACAACAGTCTCTAAACCTCCAAGTGGTTTAGGCAAACTAAATTCACTCTAATCAGATCACCAACTCTCAAAAACTTAGAAAGCAATGAAATATATCTAATGCAAATCTAGAAGACAATTTAATTTTCCTTGTTGATTGAGAAGGCAGTTAAGGCCCTTACAGTGACTCTAAGAAATTACTGTTACTACTGGTGTTCAGGAAAGTTTGGTGACTGAGAAAGCTTGAAGTCAGAGAAAATAAGTCCTAGCTTCCTCCTCTCTGGCAAGTGACTTTGGGGAAATTACATAATCTCTCCCAGCCTCAGTTTCTTCATGTGTAAAGTGGGAATAATAGAACATCTGCCACGTAGGTGAGGATAAATGAAGGAATGTATAGGAAATGCTTAGTGTAGAAGTACTCATAGGTAGATATTACTGTTGTTATTAATAATAAATAGTACAGCTCATGATTCATTTGTATGGTATTAATAGAGCTTTAATCTGATTTATTTTCAAAACTTTTATAATAAACATCCACTGACTTTTCTCTATCTTGCTGTGGCTTTATCGTTTGGGTATATCTGGGTAGATACCATGAGGGACAAGGTCGAGAACATTCAGTACATTGCCAACAGATATTTCAAGTTCTTTCAAGGCTCTGTTAAGGCACTGAGGGGGATTTTAAAAAAGAGAGGAGGGTCAGTCATGGTGGCTCATGCCCATAATCTCAGCACTTTGGGAGGCCAAGGGGAGAGGATTGCTTGAACCCAGGAGTTCAAGACCAGCCTGGGCAACATAGTGAGGCTTCGTCTCAACAGATAATTAAAAAATCAGCTGGGCATGATGGTGCACATCTGTAGCCCCAACTGCTTGGGAGGTTGAGGCAGAAGGATCGTCTGAGTTTAGGAGATTAAGGCTGTGGTGAACCATGATCATGCCACTGCACTGCAGCCTGGGTGACAGAGTGAGACTCTGACAAAAAAAAAAAAGTGGAGGAGTAGGATGCAGACCTGCCCTGCCTTCATAAATCCTGCAATGTAGTGGCAACACCACTTAAATATGAAACAGTAAGAGGAGTGCTAAATAGAGATGCACCCGCCTCAGTGTTCAGTTACAGGAAGTCGGAGGGTGTAAAGGAAGTCCCCAAGGCAAAGAATTTCAAGCACTGTGGGCAGCTGAGTAAATACTCTTGGTCAAGCGCCCCAATAGTGCCCTACACCTGTTAGAGAGACGTGTGAGCATTAGAAGCTGTGACCAAGAACTCTGACTTCCAATTGCTCAGACCCACATGACCAAAGCTCAGACCCACATGACCAAAGTAACAATACGATTACTCATTGATCACAGGCAGTTGATACTGAGGAAACATTTGTTCAGTGTATTTATTTGTTTAAACCTTCGGGTTTAAAATAAAGAAAAAAAAAGACAGATAAAGTTGTCTATAGCATGACTCTCTTCCCCCAAAAATATTAACCATGGCTCTCTCCCTTACATCATGGGAGATTTTTTTTCTATATACATTTCTACCCTTGTTGGAAAATCATTTTAAATAAAGTGAACATATATTGAAATTTTTTTTTTTGTTTGAGTGTCATTCTATCACTCAGGCTGGAGTGCAGTGGCACACTCATGGCCACCCCAGCCTCGACCTGATAGGCTCAGGTGATCCTTCTGCCTCATCCTTCCAAGTAGCTGGAACTACAGGCATGTGCCACCATGCCTGGCTTAATTTTTTTGTTTATTGTAGAGATGAGGTCTTGCCAAGTTGCTCAGGCTGGTCTCTAACCCGTGGGCTCAGGCAGTCCTCTCACCTTGGCCTTCCAAAATGCTGGGATTATAGGAGTGTGCCACTGCACCCGGTGGTCAGTCTCATTCTTTGTGATATGTTCCATTTGAAATAAAATAAATGTGTTGAAGGTTTTGCTTGCATGTCTCTGTTGCTTTCATTACTGACAAGGGCAGTCAGTCTAAACCAGTGAAAGTGCCTGGTCTCATCAACCACAATAACTACCGTGGTGAGTCAGGGTGTTAGTCCCAAAGTAGCTGCAGGACCAGATGCTTCTGTAAATTTCTTCATGGGCTAGCTGTTTCCTATCCCTAGACCTCAGTTTCCTCCCCTGTGAAATGGGTGAAATTGGACTAGTCACTAGATGGTCTCTAAGGTGCCTGCTGGTTGTATCACCTGAGGGAACTGTGATGCCTGCTACCAGTCATCAAAGCGTCTCCTGAAAGCAGCGTTGTTGGGGACCTAGCCCACAGGAGCACATTTTGATGAGCAAAGATTTAATCTCAGTGAAACTACTGGGCTTAAATTATCAGCAAAACCATCTGTGGAGTTGTCTGGGCAAGAAAAGGAGGTTTCTGAGTTCATGTTGAGACACGTGACGCAGAAAGAGGCTGAGGTATCTCGCTATGAACTCTATTCCCATACTCACTGCCTAGCACAGACTTTCAGCTCAATGAATGCTAATGAATTGAACCTAATTGGGGGATAATAATGGTCAAGACTTCCTTAAGGTTCTAGGACAAAGAGAAGATTAAATATCACAATTTAGTAACAGCAGCTACATTTACTGAGTACCCATTAATTAGGCTTTATAGATTTCATTCCAGTCATTCTCAAACTTTACCTGCACAAAGTCACCCCAGGCTTTGCAAAACGTTAGGAGTGGGGTGTGAAAATCTGCTTTTTAAAAAAATGGCCATGTGATGTTGATCGGGGACTAAATTTTGAGATCCTCTGTGGATTTTATTTAATTCTCAGTCTTACAGAGTGAATATTGTATCCCCACTTCGCAAATGAAAAAACAGAAGTGTCCAAGGTCTCATAGTTAATTAACTGGGGAGTTAGAATTTAAATTCAGTTCCTTATGACACCAAATCTTATTCCTGTTTCTCTATCCAGACATCCAGACTCATTTCTGACTCTGAAAGAAAAATAGTTGAAAATTTTATCACCATTTATCTTTAGGTGATGGGATTATGGACGTTCTAAATTCTTTTTTAGTTTTTGTGATTTTTTCTTTATACTTTTATGTATTCGAATATATACATTTATCCCAGAAAAAAGTTTTTAAATTTCATTTCATTTCCACTGTTTATCTGAATGATGTGACACTAAAATATTAATGCCGATTTTCACAAAGAAAGTAATCTCTCCAACTCACTGCTATTTGGAGCTGTCCTGAAGAGCAGAAAGTAAAAATTCTCCTGATGCTCTGCCCCAGAGGAAAGCTCTGACATTTGGGGCGGTTCTTCCTGGAGTTTCTTATATAATATACCAACATTTTATGTAATTATTTATTTGCAGATAAATTGTATAAACACCATGTATGAAGTCTATATTTTCACTTTGCATAATATTATATACGGTATAAGATTTATCTGTTTGGTGTAATTAATTACAAGTATAATTACAGAGAAAATGATTAAAAACCTCAGGAGCCCTAGTGAGGTCGGCCCCGCCCTCGCCTCCGCGCCGGACGGCCGCCCCCACCCCCGCCTGCCCTCCGGCCCCGCCCCTCCACGCCCCGCCGGCCACCCACTCCTCGCCCCGCCGGCCCCGCCCCTCCCATTCCTGCCAGCCCCGCCCCTCCCTCTCTGGCATGCCCGCCAGCCGTGAAGGCATCTGGGTTAAGGCGGAACTCAATAAGGTTGATTAATTGGATTCGTTGTTACAGGGGCTTACTCTTTGGCATGCTACTAATGGTAGGGTAATAAAGTTACCTTGGAATAACAGAGTGACGTGGAGCATATACAATAAATTGATAATCCCATCACAGGGCAACAGAGTATCCATTTATTGAAAACGACATTAATTCTGATTTTATTTATTTATTTATTTTTGAGTTGGAGTCTCACTCTGTCA